AACACGAGGACTTTGAGCTCAGGGCACCATGCATGGAATTCCTTCAACCAGTTGTCTGCATAATCCAATCAATCCAACATCCTCAACACTTCCAACTAGGCCAATTGAAGATGCCCAACATTGTTTTTATTTTCTTTTAACAATTTTTTCCCATCTTCTTGCAATATGTTCAAGCTAAGACAACTGAGCTTAGATGTTTCCTATGATCAATGTGAGTCTCAACTCTGAACTAATACTTTTTTTTTGCATCTACTACATTTTTTGGGTGGAACATGAACCAACACATTTACTTGAAAGCATGAAACTGCCAAAAGCTACCACTTTTCTGCACTCTATGTTATCTGTCATGAAGTGTTCATAAGAAAGTACGTGTACATATGAAAAGCCTCAGTAATTGCTCTGAAAATGCACATGAACAACAATTCAACACTCGAAAAATCAGTCGTGAAGATGTCAAAAGCTTTGGACATTTCAAGTGTATCAAATGAAAGTATTAAAAAATCAGAGATACTTAAAAAGTTGTTGGGTGATTTGAATCCTGGTGTGACAAGAGAAAATCAAGTTTCCAGTCAAACCCAGTTTGCGCTTAAAATTAGGAAACATTGGTCTGGGAGACATACTGATAGTGAATTGGTAAATCAGAAATAGGAAGCCTATTGGGGCTGAAAGTGAAGAGAGAGACAAAAATTTTTTATTTGCCCCTATATACATGCAGGCAGGATGACAAGCTGTGAGACTCAGAACCCCTGATCTTGCACAAAATCTTCTGATAAAAGCCATAGTTGAAGCTCAAAAGTGAGCTCATGTTTCCCCTCCTTTCACACAAAATTGTGTTTTGTGTCTTTTCTAAAGAAGCTTCTATTCAAGATTTACTCTGTTTCTGTCATGCCAAAATAGCACAACAGATTTTCTTCAATTGCCTCCTCTCTGTCAATTGCATTTTTTTGTTTTTCTGTTAGCATGTATGATATTGAAACCCAGCATAAATCCAAGCTTAACTATAAAATAGTCATCCAAGGCATAAAAAAGGGAATTCCTGAAACTGAAAAGCATTGACAGTTGAATATATCTTTATGTGAGCACAAACCAAGTGTTGAGGAAGGTACGACAACAAGATGAGGACCAGAGTTGTCAAGGGATGCAAGGTGTGCAAGGAATGCAATTGACTGAACAGTCTTCCCCAGTCCCATCTCATCTGCCAGAATAGGATTCACACATTCCTGGTCCATCAGTTGCAGCCACTTCACTCCCACCGATTGATATGGAGCCAGTTTCAATCTTTAGACATATATTTCAACCATTGAAAAGCATGTAAGAAGCCTTCTAAGATAAGTCTGATATTGAATGTGACAATGTGGACTCACCTGGGATTGAGAAGTTTTGGTTGTTCCATGAAAGCTGTTTCAAATTGGTCTTTCTCAAGGATTTCTGCAACCAAGCCCTGTGGAAATTTTTTTTCCATAAAATTACTTCAACCATGATTGATTAACTTAGAATTAGACAGTCTATGGATTCAAACCTGAAGATGTTCAGACATCTCCTGACAGCGATTCATCAATTTTTCCAGGACAGCCCTGGTGCGCAGAACAGTTTCAGCTCCATTAAGCAGGGCTGTGGACAGCTGATGGTTACCTTCCAGCACCTTGACCTGTTGCATGAATAAAGTGTGTCTTATGTTCATGATCAGTCATTCCAGATATGCAAGTAAAGTGAAGTGAGGAAGAAGCAGATGTACCAGAGTAGGCCAGTCACAGAAAGGCCTTAGAGATACTATGAGTTGTGCCTTTTTCTCTGAACATCGAGGCATCAGAGCCAGTTCAGCTTCTGTTGCTGTCTGAAAAAACTCAAGAACCTTCCTCCGATCTCCTGTTACCACATTTCTGGATTCTTCATCTGAGTCATCACTGGGAGAGATTTAAAAAAATGAATATAATCTCCAAGAGCCCAAAGGGACTTAACATGATCCAGAGAAAGGGTGAAGGAGCTAAAACCTGTCATAGACATTGCCTTGACATCCTTTGTCCTCTTCTTCATCAGATTCTTC